TAAATAAGTAAATAAGTAAATAAGTAAATAAGTAAATAAGTAAATAAGTAAATAAGTAAATAAGTAAATAAGTAAATAAGTAAATAAGTAAATAAGTAAATAAGTAAATAAGTGAATAAGTGAATGAGTGAATGAGTGAATGAGTGAATGAGTGAATGAGTGAATGAGTGAATGAGTGAATGAGTGAATGAGTGAATGAATAAATCGTCTCGAGTGACAGGATAGAAACTTCTGCCGCTTCGTACTCGCTTGCGTACATACTTACATACATATATACAGATACCGTCGGATGCCAGGCCAGCGACGCGCCCTTCTCCTTCCCCTGGTATTGCTCTGCGCGGGTTTGCACGTGACCGTGTGTGATATGAAATCGATAGATGAGGTAGGTGAGGAGATGGAGAACCCTAGCGGTACGTATAGGTGGTACGGATGTACTACGTAGATGCATATATGCATGCGCGACGGAGTGTGGCAAAGCTATTAATTCCCGGATCGTTTCTGTTGCACGCCCAACACATCGGACTCGCAACATGGGCCGTCACGGGAACGCGGCACGAGGCGCTGATTACATAATATCGTGCTGTATACCTACGCTTCCACGCTTCCACGCTTCCACGCTTCCCTCGTTACGGAATCAATCCATCCAAGCCACCAGTAACGCCGTCCGTTGTGCACTACGCATCAGACGTCCATACGCAAAAACGATTGCCTTGTATGCAGAAATGTTCCACCCATTACATCCAAGCCGCCAGAATCTCCAACACCCTACGATTAACGCAGCCATATTAAGCAGTGAGTGGGGTCGCAGCAGGGTCTACTGCCTCATAGAATCATCGCGCATCATGTACCAGTGAACTCGTCGCCCCCAGCTTGCACATCCATGCCGTCGGCTCACATCCCCGGCCGTCTGTCGTGGCCCGCTGACTTGGCGTCCCAGGATGCCGAAGTGCGGGGATTCACGCGGAGCACGTACATCGTGTCAATCTCCTCCAGAGACCGATCCTTCGTCTCCATCATGAAGAAATAGACGATCCAGAACAGCACAAAGCAGCAGACGCCAAACACGAGGCCGTAGAAGTAATCGATCTCGCGGGTGATGAACGTGGTGAAGAACGAGATCAGGAAGTTGAAGAGCCAGTTGGATGCCGTGGCCAGCGCCATGCACGGCGCGCGGTAGCGGGCTGGATAGAGCTCGCCGACGATGGCCCAGACGAGGGGACCCCAGGTCGTGGCGAACGCGACGATGAAGAGGCAGGTGAAGACGATGAGGACCTTGCCTTCGGTCGCGGTGGACATGGGGTTCTCCGCGTCGAGGCCGAAGTGGCCGACGAAGGCGTAGATCATGAAGCAGACAAACATGGCGGCCGCCCCGCCCATCAGGGACTTGCGGCGGCCACAGTTCTTGACGATCCAGAGACCGCCGACGGTAGCCGCGACGTTGACGGAGCCGAGGATGATGGACGTGACGTACGAGTTGGAGATTCCCGTGGACTTGAAGATAGTTGTGCCGTAGTAGAAGAAGAAGTTGGCGCCGGTGAGCTGCTGGCCTGCCTGCAGGGTCATGCCGAGGAGGGTGCGGTACAGCATGCGCGGTCCGGTGAAGATCTCCGAGAGCGCGTGGTCCCCGCCCGCCCGCTCGGCAGCCAGCTTCTCTTCGATCTCGGCAATCTCCTGGTCGATGAGAGGATGGTAGGGGCCGATGCCACTGAGGCGGCCCATGGTCTTGCGTGCCTCCTCGACGCGGCCCGCACGGTAGGCGAAGCGAGGGGATTCGGGCAGGGCGAGGATGGCGACACCCAGGATGACGGCCCACAAGGCCGAGAGACCATTGGGAATTCTCCACTGAGCGGAGTTGTCGAATGCACCTTCGGTGCCGTAGTTAACCTGTCTCTGTGAGCGGCGGGAGACCCGGCGGAGCGTGGGAGGAAACCACTCACCATGTAGGCGGTCCAGATACCCAGGGTAATCAGCAACTGGTAGGAGCTGACGGTGGCGCCTCGGATGTTCTTCGGCACACTTTCCGTCTGGTACATCGGGACACTGGTGGACAGGGCCCCGATACCCAAGCCCGCCGTGAATCGTCCCATGGCGAACTGAACCCACTGTCGGTCGCTGGTAATCTCAATGACGACGCCGATGATGTAGAAGAAGGCGGAAGAGGAGATGGTGTATCGACGTCCGATCTTGTCCGCGAGCCACCCACTGACCAGGCATCCGATCAGGGTCCCGATGCAGAGCAGGCCGACAATGGTTCCCTGGCGGACCGCCGAGAACTCGCCGTTCTCTCCGAATCGATCCAGGAAATCGCTCATGGCGAGGAAGCCTGAGCTAGCAGTCAGCAGCGGTCCCCGCAAGATCTATCCCGTCCCGCCGGGCGCCATTGGGAGCCTTCATCGGGACGGCGGCGATTGGCATCTGGCCCGGGCGTCGCCGTCGTTCTGTCAAAGCACACGTACCGGATATCTGACCCGACTCGTACCCAAACATGAATCCTCCGATCGACGCGATGCCACCCAGCAGAACGGCCAGCGAGGTCAGCGGCAGCTCTTCCGCGGCGTCGCCCGCTTTCCCGTGCGCGACAGCGCCTTTGCCCGAGCCGTTCACCGGCGTGTGGGCCGCCGAGGTCTCGGCATGATGAATGCCCGCCGACGACGGCCCATCTTTCTCCTGGTTGATGGACGATTCGCGCTCGACGTGTGTGGTCTTGCCGAAGACACCCATGGTGAGCTGGCTGGGGGGATGTATCTGTATGTGTATGTATATATATAGGTATAGGTATAGGTCTAATCTACCTCTACTTCGGACCGGGGACGAGAGGCGTTGTCGTTGGAGACCGTCTCGAATGCGACTCGGAGGAATGAGATTGGCGATCGATGGCTGTCCGACGGACGAGGAGTAACACTACCTTGATATGATATGATCCGGACGTCGACGTGTCCGATCACCGATGGAATTGGGTCTGGATGGATGGGATATGTGCGGGGAGAGGAGAGGGGGGAGGGGAAGGAGGGGATCACCGGCGTTATATATGAGATGAATTTGGTGTGGTGGGCTCTCGCGCCGAATCCACCGTTGGATCTCGTGACTGGCTGGCTGGTCCCTCTGACCTCATTTCCACCGTGTTCAGCAGGTGGGATGCGGTACCGGTACGTGGTGGGTGGGTAGTGAGGTTGAGAAAGTGGGAAGTCACGATGGCGCCCGGCGGGCGGCGACTCCGTAGAAGGACCCGGCTTTGACAGATTTTTTTTTCCTCATTTTTTTTTCCATTTTTTTTTTTTTTCGAATTAAGCGACCCCGGCAGTAAGTAGGGCCGGCTCGGTAGGCTAGGCTACTTAGCCATGCAATGGTCGGTCGGTCGGTCGGTCGGTACCGGTAGGTAGAATGAATGGATGAACGCATGCGCGAGCTAGCAGGCTCTGGCTTAGCAGAGTCAACAAAACAAACAAACAAACAAAGAGAGAAATAATCCAAACAATCAATCCAAACAAACGATCAAAACAATCAAACCAAACGATCAAAACAATCCAATCAACAGTCAAACTAACCAATCACACTAACCAATGTAATCAAACAATCAAACAAACAAACCACCGGCACGCAGACATGGAGTCGAGTGGAGTCGAGTCGAGTGCCTGCCCCATGCCGCCGCACTATACTGCAGTATACTATACTACAGTATACTATACTACAGTATACCACAGTACAGCACCTCCGTCCCTCCTCCTTACGGACCAGCCGCGGTCTACCGTACCTACCTACCTTACTCACCTCACAGTACGAACGTAAGTACGGGATCGAGCATCAGCGCACGCGCACGAGCGCACTCGGTGCAAGGTCGGGGGAACTACTGTTCATGTGGAGATGCAACGTGGGGCCCACGACGAAGGAATCCTCCGTCTCCGTCCGGTACCGTACCGTACCGTACCGTACTGTACTGGTCCCTCGTCGGGAGGGATCGCTCTGTGTCTGTGTCTGTGTCTGTGTCTGTGTCTTGGGGGGCTCCGTAGACGCCCGAGAGAGGGATGGATGGATGGATGGGGGATTGCGCGGAGATGCGGAGATGCGGAGATTCGAGGAGGAGGAGGAAGTGGAGGAGGAGAAGGAATGGAGTAGTATTCCTACGTGCGGATGCAGCTGCGCTACGGTAGTTGGAGGTGGTTGGTTGGTTAATTAGGTAGCTGATCCCGAGGTCAGGTCGTGGCCTCTCTTTCCTTTTCCTTTTCAACGCATTAATGGCGTAGGGGAAGGGGGTTCGGTGAGAGTGGTGTGATTGCTTGATTGCTTGATTGCTTGATTGCTTGATTGCTTGCTGGGAGGGAAGGAAGGAAGGTCTTGGATATCAGTCATATACTACGTAGTATAAGGGAGGGAGTGAGGGAGGGAGGATCTCGTGAGTGGACAGAGCGTCACTGTCGCGTGGTGCGGCTTTTGCTCTTACCCCGCGTCCTCCGCAAAAAAACAAAACAAAACAAAACAAAACAAAACAAAACAAAACAAAACAAAAACACCCCCGGTCGCCCCAACGCCCCAACGCCCCAACCTGCATGCAAGTCCTTCAGATCCTCAAGGCGCTCCTGCCCCGGGGAACACCAAGATCACGCCGCTTGGCGAATTGCGGCACGGCTGCGTAGCCCGACCTAAGTACCGGTCGCCGCCATTTCGCGCTGGCCTGCAGCACGTCTCGCATTTCATCTCGCATTTCATAGTAGTAGTATATATGAGACAAAGGATCTCTGGGCATTCCTTTGGACGTGGACGTGGACGAGAAGAGCGTACTGCTGCGTCGGGGGAAGGAAATGGTAGGGACGGGGGCATCGGAAGGAAAAATGCTGAGACGCCGGATCGGAAGCTTGTCTGCGCTGAAATTGCAAAAAAAGGGGGGAAATTACCGCTGTCACTGATTACGTAATGACAGCGAGTCCAGGCCCCCTTGGAGAGGCTGGAAAGGCTTGAATCGCGCGTATTTAATTACCGTACTACTACCGGTACCGGTACTTCGACACGACGCAGCTGGCGCAGGAAGGCCGAACGAGCGGCCGTGGACGGGTGCGTGAAGGCATAGAGGATGCACCAGGAATGAGCCGGGCAGGCAGGCAGGCATCGGCTCAGGCAAAGGCAAAGGCGTCGAGTGCGCGAGGAGCTGCGAAGGAGCTGCCATCACCGTGTGAGTGGGTGCGTGTGGGTTTTCCGTCGTATCTGGTGACGGACCAGCGGTACCGCATCTGACACGTTCGAGGAAAGTGGCTCATTGGAAGCCCGAGGAAAGCCGCAGGGTCACGTGTCCGGTGACTAATGCTCCCTCACGTGGCTAGCCGCCTGAGGCCAACGCCCTGCCCCTTGGCTCCAGTCCCTCCAACAAGGTGCAAGGCGCAGGCCGAGCCAGATCCGGGATTCTGCGCTAGAACGGTAACCGAAATGAGGAAAGTCAACAAAGTATGGAGTACCTAGCTAGGTAGTAGGTACCTATGGATTCACCCATCGCCCCCTTTCCGCTGCTTATCAGATCCAGCAAGGGCGTTGGTCGGTGGGCGGTCGAGAACCCCCCAGCCATGGTTGAGTTCCCACGTGGATCCGAGACCGAGAGACCGCTCTCGGAGTACGGTACCTATGGACACTCCAATCCTGCAAGCAGGTAGGTAGCTACAACCGTGTCTACAGGTCGGTAATTAATCGGAACCGAACATGTCACCTAGACAGATGATCGATGACGGACGGAATCCCATGAACATGAAATGTCATCGATCGACCCGTCTCTCTCGTGACTCCGACACGTCGTGATCTACCGGTAGATCTAGGGATGGGGTGACCGTGTCCCGTCCCACGCCAGCCCTGTAATCGGAGGGCAGACAGAAGAGGAAGGAGCACGGTCTTGTCCTACCGGTATCTGACCGCGCCGTCACCGACTTTACCATGAAGCCTTCTTTGCATTTTCTTTTATTCAATAACATATTTCTCATTAATATGTATATCTATATATAACCATGAATATTTCCATTTCAATCAATTTTTTCTTTCTTTTTTTCTTTCCTTTTTTCCTTTCGTCTTCCTCTTCTCCGCCCCCGTAATCCGCGCCTCCGCGTCAACGGAGCTCCCACCCTTCCAGGCTTTCACCCGCACGAGGTGCGAACACCAGTCTACCAGTAGTCTCCATCTACTACTATCTTCCTACGTACTGTATCAGCGGGGGACGAGCCAAGAGAAAGTAAGTTTCCTCGGAGCAAGCACCGAAAAAGGGGGGCGAGAAAAAAACCCAAAAAAAAAAAAAGACAAGAAGTGTCTATTAATCTGACTCGGTTGAGAAACTATCTAGCTCGGTTGAGAGTTGAGCCGCGGCTTGAGCTTGAGCTTGAGCTTGCACAGAGAGAAGGGAGAAAGAAAGAGAGAAAGAAAGAAAGAAAAGGGTTTAAGAGAGAGCACCAGATAGGAGGAGAAAGAAGTTAAGAGCGTGGGTGGGTGGTACCGAGCCTAATCGGCGCTCACGTATCTCCTATCTCCTATCTCACCCTACCAATTCTAGTTCTCGTATGCGACAGATTTGAATTCTATTTAGCATGCAAGCCTGCTGCCGCTGCTGCTGGAGGGACGAGCAAGGCCCCGGTCATTGGACACATCGAGAGTAGGTAGGAGACGGGGAGGGGAGTGAAACCAGCGGACGACCGACCGACGGCCGTCGAGGACCTTTGATGAGGAGTACCTGACTATATACATAATACACGACGAACGAGCGAGCGAGCGAGCGGACGGAAAGGACAGGGAGAGGGAAGGGCAGAGGGAGGGAAGGGGAGGGGAGGGGGAAGGCCAGAGACACTACTGTACATTCAGAAAAGCCGCGACGGAGGAAGCAGTCGCGTGAGCAGCCGACCAGAGAAAGAAGAGGGAAGAAGAAGCGTTGCCTTGGTGGAGGCGTGAGTGAGCGAGCACTGGTCGGCGGTAGATTTTGGAAAAGGAAAAAAAATATGTACACGGGAACGGTCCCTCGGGATAGAGGAGAGGAGAGGAGAGGCTGGCTGGCTGGCTGGCTGGGCGGGTAGGCCCGTTTTGCCGCCGCTCAAGTGCAGGCCTCTCCGCTGCCGCCGCCCTTCTTGATGGGGGTTCCCTGGTCGTCCTGCCTGTAGGAGCTTTCCTTCTCGCCCTGCTTGGATGGGGCGTTGGAGGGGGTTCCGGTCTCGCCGCCCTCCTTGGTGGGGGTGCCGGTCTCGCCCTCCGTCTTGGTGGGCGTCTGGCTCTCGTCCTGCTTGTAGGGGCTTTCTTGGTCCTTCTCTTTGGAGGGGTTTCCCGTCTCGCCCTCGTTTTTGGAGCCCTCCTTCTCGTTCTGCTTGTAGGAGCTTTCCTTCTCGCCCTCCTTGGATGGGGTTCCTGTCTCGCCCTCCTTCTTGGACGTTTCCTTCTCGCCCTCCTTTTTCGAGGTTTCCTTCTCGTTCTCCTTGTATTGGCTTTCCTTCTCGCCCTCCTTCTTTGAGGTTTCCTTCTCGCCCTCCTTTTTGGAGGTTTCCTTCTCGTTCTGCTTGTAGGAGCTTTCTTTCTCGCCCTCCTTGGATGGGTTTCCGGTCTCGCCCTCGTTTTTTGAGCTCTCCTTCTCGTTCTGCTTGTATTGGCTTTCTTTCTCGCCCTCCTTGGATGGGTTTCCTGTCTCGCCCTCCTTCTTTGAGGTTTCCTTCTCGTTCTGCTTGTAGGGGCTTTCTTTCTCGCCCTCCTTGGATGGGTTTCCTGTCTCGCCCTCCTTTTTCGAGGTCTCCTTCTCGTTCTGCTTGTAGGAGCTTTCTTTCTCGCCCTTCTTGGACGGGGTGTTGGATGGGGTTCCTGTCTCGCCCTCCTTGGTGGAGGTTTCTTTCTCGCCTTCCTTCTTTGTTGGGGTCTCGTTCTCCTTGTATTGGCTTTCTTTCTCGCCCTCCTTGGATGGATTTCCTGTCTCGCCCTCCTTTTTTGAGGTCTCCTTCTCGTTCTGCTTGTAGGGGCTTTCCTTCTCGCCCTGCTTGGATGGGGCGTTGGATGGGGTTCCTTTCTCGCCCTCCTTGGTGGGGGTACCTTTCTCGCCCTCCTTCTTTGTTGGGGTTTCCGTCTCGTCCTCCTTGTATGGGCGTTCTTTTCCACTCTCCACTGGTAGGTCGTAACCGGGACGAGGGTTAACAGGATACCCGTTGGTAGGAGGGTTCGTGGGGGCTGAACCGTATGAAGTGGTGAAGCGGGAACCGGTGTCTGGCTTTTTCTCGGGCGTTGTTGGATCGGGCGTTGTTGGATCGGGCGTTGTTGGATCGGGCGTTATTGGATCGGGCGTGGAGCCATTGTTGGCTCTGGAAGAAAAGACTTGGGCCACAGCGTCGTACGCGGGCTTCTTCTGGAGATCGGCGTCCCAGAGGAGAGCCTGTCCATAACCCTGGAACGTGGCATCGACCCAGGAGTATTTGTCAGTGTAATCCCAGATGGTGATGCCGATACAGGCAGAGGCATCTAAGCAAGTCTTGATAGCCTCAGCGTAATCAAGGGCTTGTTGCTCGAGCTTGTCAGGAGTACCGGGAAGTTCGATGCGGATGTCCAACTCGGTGATTGCAACTTCGAGTCCCAGCGCAGCGTATTTCTCGAAGTTGGCCACGATGTTTTCGGTGCTAGGCATTTTACCCGAGATGTAGTGCCCCTGTGCTCCAACACCATCGATTGGGGTTCCTTCGTTGACCATCTGAGTGACCAAGGCAAGGGCAGCCTGTTGCTTGGATCCGTCAAATTCGATGTTGTAGTCGTTGTAGCTGGCAGATCGTCAAGTCAGCAAATTGTGCCTTTGGGGCTTCTCGGCACTCGTCTCCGAAGTACACCGATCACGAAACAAGGCAGATCAGGACGTGATCAGGGCCGATCCACTTACTAGAGCTTGGTATCTGGGTCGGCAGCCCGGGCAGTCTCAAAGGCAATCTTGATGTACTTCAAGAGTGTTAGTCAGGATTCTGTAAACTTCGGAATCTGGGATCCTCCGAAGACCTCGGCTTCGAAAATATCCAGGGCAGAAGAAGGGAGATAGATGAGAAGTGGATGGATTTGTACATACGTCCTCGCCCATGGCTTTGTAGAATGGGCTGTCCCGATGTGCAGCAGCTTCAGTGTCGTCGAAGGCTTCGTTTACCACGTCCCATGCGTAGCACTGTCCCTTGTACTGTGTCACCACCCCAGTGATGTGGTCCACCAAGACCTTCTGGAGGGTTTCCCGCGTCCAAGTTCCTTGAGACACTGTAGATCGTCAGGAATAGAGCTGAGCGATAATACGAGAAGCGTCATACCCCATGATGGCAACTGGTTGTACCAGACCAAAGTGTGGCAACGCAATGTTTGACCATTCCCAGCGACCAAGTTCGCAATTTGATCGGCGTTTTCGAAAGAGAACCCATCCTGGGACTTTCCAATCGTATCCCACTGAATGTAGTCAGCAAGAGGCTATCTTCTTAATCAGAGCCAGTTGACAGACCTTTTGAGCGTTTCCAACGGTTATCATCGAGAACTCGGTGGTATCGGAGAGGATCGCAACATATGGCGCATCGTCCAATTCGTGGTTGTCTGTCGCCGATCCGAAGTATTTTAAGCCCTGCATTCAGTGAGACATGAAGGTTTATGGACTTGTTTGATACACTCACCGCAGCAATGGCCAGTGTGTTGAGTTGAGCGTGGGCTGCAGGCAACAAGAAAGGAAGAATGAGAGTGGTAGATAACATGATGAAAAGAGTGCGTTGCTAAACGACCGTGAATGTGGTTTGAGAGAACGTGAATGTCTGTTATCAAGAGAGTGTCAGCAGTACAAAGGAAACAGCGGCCAGCGATGTGATGTGACTGCGATCTTGTGCAAAGAAGCTGGGTCTGGGGGAGAGGAAGAATATATACGCTTATTCTACCGTGTACGACCCCGTCCCAGACCTACTCCCTAAAAGTACCCCGTCAATATCCTTGTTTCTTACGAATCAAGGATAAATTCGCCGATAAGAGACTCCTGAAAATTCTAAGCCTCGACAAGGATCTCTTTGGTATCCTTATGCTGGCCTCGCACGTATTGAAATCTAAAAAAAAAAGTCTCTTTAGATGCAACGACAACGAAGTTATTCTATAATTGCAAGTATGACCTTGGTCGTAGATCCGGAAATCGATTCTTCGCTTCGAAGCGAGAGCGGTAAATACTATATATCGAGCAGTCATATTTCCATATGTAGAGTGACAAAGTTGAAGGGAATAATACAAGAAACCAGGCGCAACAGAACTCCTTTCCTAATATGGCAAAAAGCCCGGGCGTGCACACTCGGTATCTTTACAACGAGATCGTACTGTATGCGCCTTGCCCGGATCACAACAACGCGTATCTATCTGGGCAGCTCTGCAAATAGAGCGACCAGGTCTTGCCAATGGGGCGGCTAGGGGGCGATGCACCATTCAAGCACCGATTTCATCCAATCTCTTAGGAATCAAGATGATAGCGAAAATGGAATGTTACAAAGGGCTTTGCCAGAGCCGTGTGGAAACCAGTAAAGTTACGCTCAGCATTTGAAGGATACTTGAAGTAGGCCAGCATCTGGTCTGTGCGATACAGTTGACAGTTACTCGTCTTCTAGCCTGGCCAAAAGTCGGGGGCTTCTAGTTACGGTAGGTCCCCAGTCATCTGATTCACTACTTACTCGTGCGGCCAGAGTAAGCATATCTTTTCCCCTGAGTTGATCTTCTTTAAACTAGGGACAGAAATTGCGATGCTCTGAATTGTACAACTACTACAACCAGAAGTAGTTCTAATATTTGGCTAAGCGTCATCAAATCCGACTGTGTATTTGGAAAGGTTTTCGATCTGGAGATACATAGATATGCCGGCCGCCCGAGTACGAGCCCTGACTCTTGGGTCCTTAAAGCTTCCGGCTCCCGGAGGTGTTAAAGTCGACCTGAAACGTTAATATACTCAACTTGGCGAAAGTCAACATGCGCCCGGACCATCCTCCACAAGTTTGTTGCCCCTTTCTCGATTTGTATATCCATTATATCCATTATTATACGGTGTGTGAATATGTATGCAATGTGCTCACTTGCGCTTGTCATGGTGTCTCTTTTGATCTCGAGCTCTTGATCCATCGATAGATATCCTCTTGTCCAAAGTTCTTCGTTACTTGATCAACATCTCCGAACAGATCGACCTCCATTGATTATTGTAGATCATATCAATATCTTCGAAACTGAAACGGCGACGTCACACTCACCTCGTACTCGATGTCGAAAAATAGAAGTCCACGAAACGAATTACATATCGGCCGTCATCAGGACCATGCTCCACGTGGTGCTCGCTAATTGTTGTACGTAGTCCGTAAGTAAGTACTACTATAACGAAGGGATCAACTCCCCCCTTCTGAAATCTGGGGATTTGACCCTTGAATTCCAAGATTTCCAGAGACCATAAACTGGGGAGCATCCGAGTCCCGGGAACAATAGGGCGCCGCTCACCCCCTTAAATCTAAATTTTAGCAATCACAATAATCTCCGGGTACGAAGAAGGTATCTGTCTCGTCTAAAAACGTGATTAGGGAAACCAGAAAGCGATTACATTAATAGCTAACGAATGAGGGACTTCAGCCCGGAAAACACCTCTACGGGATGCGACGTACAGCAGGGTATTGCGATGATTCAGGTTGAAACATTCTTTCGGGATCGGAATATATCCCTATTTATGTATGCATATACGGGACTGGAAACGCGGAAGTCTCTCTTGACGCCGGCGGCAAGGCTAGTCGTTACCATTATATTGCATCGCCAGCGCTACCTGCGGAAGCTAATTTTTAAGCTTTTGTTATCAGGTACGAAAAACGTTTGTTTATAAATAATACGAAAGTATCATATTTACAAAGCTCTATTAAAAACATCAAACCGAAAACAAAACAAAAGAAAAAGGCAACGCAAACCCGTCTACCTGACTCGTGACGGTAAGCCTTTCCATCTTTACTAAGCCGTGGATTTAATAAATCGGATCAGATCAGATCAGCTCACAGATCAGCTCAGATCAAATATAAGACGAAGCTTAAGGCGTCTCTGCGCATCGCAGATAATACTGTTAAGTACTACGTATGTAAAAAGGTATACCCACATACCAGGGTTACAAGAGCGAAACACCGCAAGGCGATTACAGATCTGCTTTTGCACAACAGTTTCTCAAGAAGCCACACGATTCTACAAGCGCCTCTGACGTTTACAAAATTCACCAAGTGCGAACCAGAGCTTCCGTCTCATAGTACGATAACTATTCCAATAATCATCAGAGCATGCGGCGGTGATTCAGGCCACGGGAGCCCTTCCCCGGATCCCTCGGAACATCAGCAAATCGATTACCACTACCTACCGTAGCTTTCTATGGAGTTGGCATGCTTACGGAGCTGCTAGCAGACCTGCCGACTCGGTTCTAGGTGACCTGGTAAAGACAGTACTCTCCCTCCCCCAGTATGAATAGTAGTCAGTGCGCTCGCTGACTTTTACCTGCGGGCTCTCGGTAACAGTCAGGACAGGCAAGTGTCCCAGGCCAAGCAAGTGTCCCAATCCACTTCATTTCCGATTGGAAAAAGCTATATTATACGATATTAGCTACATTCAAAAAACAGCTATCTATATAAAAACTCGATGATGAAATAGAGCTCGGTTGCTATACTTCGTTCCTCTACTTTTGAATACTATTACTCGTCGCGTTGTTGATCCATTCGAGTTGCAAATCGCATCAATTCTAGCTGATATTTTGATATTCCGAAGCTAATAATCGATAAGCTGCAAGCTTGCTACGCGTTTTTTTTTTTTTCATGTTCAAAAAAAAACCAATCTTTTTTACGCAATAGGTATCATAATAATCAATACATATATTTGAGATTTGATAAGCTCGTAGCACGTCGTGACGCCGATACGGAAATACAACCCTCATTCCTATAGCTCGTTGCGTGGTAAAGCTATGCACGAGAGAAGCGTGAATTTTAAATGACTTTCAATGATTTCCAACCCAATTTGATATACTCTTTGAGATACCGGGTAGGACGCTTGCTTGTCTTGACTCGTCCCGAGAGCCGGCAGGTAAAAAAAAGTCGGCGCACTGACTAGGAAGTACTACGTACTAGTATATATACCTAGAAAGTATAATTCTGCAAGGGATCTTAACCAGGTCTTAAACCGACCAACTTACTACGTACGTACGTAGTACGTAGGTACGGTAGTAGTATAAGGATTCATTCAGCCTTGAAAAAAGTATCTTTGAGCCAGTATTGACTCTGTGCAATGGACTTGACCGGGCTTTAAGCAATTCAGAGATCGCCGCTCTACGATTCATAGAGCTAAACTAGGTCCGCGATATAGTATGATGCATATATATATATATATATATATATATATTTATGTATATACCTATCACTTCCCCGTCCAGCCCAGTAAACAACCGCTACATACATGCAGATCAGAATTTTCAGAGGAGATAGATAATAATTGGTTTATAAGTTATATGCTTCTTCACGTACGTATACCTAGGTAGCTATACACATTTGATTTCCCCCAATCTCCGATTCAGTAAGTGACTAGCCAGGTAATTGAATAGGGGTCTTGTAGTTTCGGCTCCGTTATGGGATCCTTCACATCGATATCTCGGTAATAGAGTGAAGGTTTTATTAGGACTGCAGAGGATTAATTTTCTAATGCATAGTCGATGTACATGGGTAGTGTGCTCCAAAGGCCTGCCGGCTGCCAAAACACTTGCGAGTCAGAGGAAAGTACCGAATCGTTGGCGCCTGGTCTCGATAGTCGTGTGAAGCCCTCTGCCATCGCAGATATTATGCCTAGCATCTTCCAAAGTCATGCGCCCTGACTTTTCAGAGGACTGTAATCATCGCGCCGTTGGTGAATGCGAGAACACGCTTGGGGTTTGGAGGGGCTAATCAAGGATACTTATCCACGAGAAATTGGCAATGAAGAACAGATTGGCGAAAGAGAAATCCGACGAGAGGTGAGAGAAAGGTGGTCAAACTCGGATTTTGATGGTGGAATATATTTTACAGTAAACGTACGAGTAAATATATACAGGTTAGTTACATTACAATATCTATTATTTTGAATCCCTCCCATTCCCACCACTCCCGCTTGTTGAGATCTGATTCCAATGTTGGAAGAAAAACATAGCGAGACTCTTAACCAGCCTGGTACAAGAAAGGACCAGCAGCTACGTGAGGGTTGACGTTGCTCAGGTTGAAGGAGGTGTATGGCAGGTTGTTATCGGTAAGAGCGATAAACATGGTACCTGCGAAAAAAAAAACCAAGTTAGTCACAACCTTCCAGAAAAGTCAGGCACGAAAAGAAAAGAAGGAGAAGAACTTTACCATTGATAGCCGGGTCTCCCTCGTAGGTAGAGACATCGGGCTGGATCGTCTGGCCAAAGTTTGTGCCGTTGGACGACGAGATGTTGGTCAGTGGCGAGTAGGTGATGTTCAGCTGGCTGACCCAGAGGACCCATTGCGGCGCGCCCGCCTTGGTGTCCGTGACGTAGGAGTTGTTGGGCCCAACGGCCTTGCCCGGGTTCTCCCAGCTGAGGAAGACCTTGCGGCCGGGGAACGAGAGCGGGATGCTGCGGTTCTGGGAGATGGCCGCCGAGCAGTCGAAGCCCGTCACGTTGGTGCCGATGCACGACTCGGCCTTGGGGACGTCTGAGCCGGGGGCCGCCGGGCCGAAACCCGTCGTCTCGTTGAAGCCCGTCTGCGTGGCGTTCATGCGTGCGCTGTTGGGCTGGTTGAGGACCGTCAGGGCCGGGAAGTTCTGCCACGCCAGCCGCTTGCTGTTCGCCGGGCACGAGGAGATGTAGGGGGCGAGCAGGGTCCAGGCCCACGACTGGGGGATGCCAGTCTCGAACCAGACGGGCATGGGGAACAGGCCGGCGAACTGGCGGAAGATCATCTGCTGGCGGGCCTCGGTGGCGATGGACTGGTCGAGCAGCTGCGCGACTTCGCGGGAGTCCAGGTGCGCTTGGAATCCCCAGACGCCGGACTCGCCGAAGCGGGTAAGCTTCTGCGTGAAGTCGAAGGCTTCGTGCACCGTGGTGAACGGGTAGTTGTAGGTACACTGCGGTGTGGCGCCTCCCGGACCGCCGAGGAGGTTAGACAGCAGGGTGGCGTGTCCGGATTCCTGGTCGGCCATGAACTGGATGAGGAAGCGGTCCGATGGTGTCAGACCGGCCGCCGTGAACTCCTCCTCGGAGAAGGTGGCGAGGATGTGGTGGAACAGATCCAGCTCGATCCATTCCTGGTACAGGCCCAGCAGGATCGACTCGTAGTCAAAGTCAGACTGCACGCGGTATACGGGCTCGGTCCCGTTGGTGCCCAAGCCGCCGGCTGGCTGGTACGGGATGGGTTGTTGGTTGTGGAGGGTCCCATCCGGGCTGTAAATCAGCTCCTTGGGGTTGGGGGGCAGCATTGGGATGGCAGTGCCCGCGGGCGCGTTAGAGACGGCACCGGTGGTGGTGGGTGTGCCGGTGTAGGGACCGTGGGATGTCACTCCCGTCACTTGACTGCTGACGACGGGAGGAACCGCGTTGGTTGCTCCTGGAATCTCAGACGCGGGAATGCCCGCGTAGGCCGCAGCTGAGGCGACGGCGGCGCTGTTGACCGAAGGCTTCTGAGGATACGAGTAGTATCCGAACGGCGATGCCATGGATGCGGCTGAAGTAGTGACGCTGCCGACGACAGAAGTAGAGGTGGGTACTTGCACCTGGCCATCACGGACTTGTGCAATCTGCGGGAGAGCAAGAGCAGACGCTGCGGCACAGAAGCCCGCGGCACATCCTGCCTTGAAAAGCATCTTGAGAGTTGTTGCGAGAAATGATGTTAGCTGACGTCAAGTGTTGAGAAGGAGCGTGAGTGTCCTTCATATACTTTTGTTGTCGGACTGCAAGCACTGAAGAGCCGTTACTAGCATGCTATTATGTCATTGCCACTCTGGCGATAGGTGGGTGGGCTTTCGAATTGATGACGCTCATAAGTAGCAGAGCGCTCTGGAGGCGGGGAGGGCTTTCTCTCTTTCTCCTCCCCGTCGTGGCCAGTTGACGGTGAGTTCTTGATTGGTTTGTGATAGAAATCCTGGAATCCTGGACTCGGAAGAGTCATTGGTGTAGGTAGGCGTGCACATAGAACGCATATACATCCGGACAGATAGATACACTTCAATTCGCTAACCGAGACTTTCTCCCCAGCAAGGCAGCCATCCTGGTAAGCGAACAAAACAAAGGAAGATGCGCGGAAAAGCCTTAACGGTGCAGAACCATAAACACAGCAATGATGTATGTCTGTACATGTACGAGCGAGCACAAGGTTCGAGCGCCACGGTTTGTTGCATATGGCCATGAAACGAAAATGAAATGAATGATTTTCGCCGCGGGCAAGGTTCAATCAAGCGTCATATCATCTGCCATCAGCTATTGAGTCCCCTTGCCCTGTGTGAGCACCGATATCAACATCAACAAAACACCCGCACACTGGATGATGATCATGACGCATAGATCATTGAGCCCGCTCTCGGACTTGACGACTGGATTCGGTTCGGCTCGGCTCGGCTCGGTTCGGCTCGGTTACGAAGAGCCGGGATGCATGCACCCTATTTACCATCTTCTGCATCGGGAGCTGTTCTTGACGATCGTTACGTCGTACCTGAGCCGGATATATATGTACAGGTACCGGTACAGTACCGTATATCAAAAGCTTGCATTAAATAACCGAGCTTTCTAATGGAGTTTTTACCTCCTACTACGTACCTTCAGCTTACCAGAGCGGTCACCTCAGCAAGCCTTTTCTCCAGCTGTGCTGTCTCGTCTAATTGTCAGATCAATCATCATCATCTCAAGTCCCAAGCAGAATCAATCACTCACTCACCCAATTAATTACCTTGTTTATTGAGAACACAAACCTGCTGGTGCAACGTTAGACAGCCGGAAGTAGCTAGCTTTCTTTCAATGAAAAAGACCTGTCCGTCCGTTAGTGACGTACTCGGTCTCGATCTCGATTTCTAATCTTGAAAACGTAACGTCACGCCACGCCATCACGGATGTCAGATCAGATCATCTCGAACCCTTTAATCTGCATCGGATACAGATGAACTCGACCAAGTTCGGATTATTCTTCCCCTGCATTCTTCCTTGTCCACTTTTTACGTCCCTCCTCCCTCCTCCCTCCTCCTTCTTCGCCATGATGAAACATCTCTTCCACTCGCTTCCGACGCCGAGTACAGTAAATCAATCGTAGTAACGAACCATTCTCTCACGAATTGCCTCTCTCACCATAAAATGTTACAGGTGAGAATTTCATGCGTGTCGTCTCTCCCTGCTCAAGTAAACCATATATCAGACAAATGTAAAACCTCCTCTCCCAATCCCCAATTCTCAATTCCCAGCCGCACACAAAGCATGCATCCCACCCAGCCTAAACGCTCAATGACAAAGTACTTTTTCTTTCCCATCCAAGAATCACGCTGCAGTCCCTCAAACGCCAATTTTCCCACATAATTTCCACCCAAAATCAAATCTCAAGTCAGATATTTCCAACCTCTTTAATACCACCTAGCCCCTCCCAACACTCTTCTTCTCCTCCTTCTTCGCATCCTCAGTCGCAGCAGCTTCCGCCTTCGCCGCCTCTTTGGCAGCCAGCTCCGCCACTTTCCTGTCTTTCTTCTCGCCTTCTTTCTTGCCGATGTTTTGGACGCCGCCTGCTCATCCTTTAGCAGTGGTCAGTTTGCGAAGTAAGGTCTGAGGAAAGCGGGAGAAAACGTAGCTCACCTCGTCCAAAAACCCGGACATCACTCTGCGGCTTAATCTTTGGCACTCCACCGGCGTGACTATCACCACTCCCACTCTCCGCACTCCTCCACGTGCCCGCCATACTCGAGGGCCCATACGGCTGCGATGCCTGAAAATGGTACCCAGGACCTCCAGATAACGTAGGGCTCCTCTCATCTACAGGAGACTGCCGGTACGTCTGCAACGTGTCTGATCGACCTGGTCTCTGTGGAAACGGAGAACATGAGCCATTTTCGAAGACAGTAGGTTGATCCGGCTCCGAGCGACGACTTGTGATCCCGTGGCCTGCGCCGAAAGGGGAGGATCCGCCAAGCAGAGGCTCGTCACCGTCTCCAATAGCATCGACCTGTTCGCGGAGGCCAGAGTACGCGGCCTGAAGGCGTGTATACCGCTTCAAGAGATGGTTATACGACATCTGGAGCTCGTTGATTCGGTGGCGGGAAGCAGCCATAGCGGTGTCAAGAAAAACGTGGCTCAGATGTGCTTTCTCGGGCTCCTCGCTCCGGAAAGAGGCAGTATCTTCTTGGCTGCGGATGTTTTCTAGCTCGGCTTCAAATGATGCTCGGGCTTTGGCAAGCTCGGAGTCGCGGGCCAAGATTTCCATTTCCAGAAGGTGGGCGCGGTTGAGAGCGGCTTCCTCTCGCTCTTTTGCTCGGTCGCCTTCGCGCGCGCCGACTTCTAGTTTGACGATTTTCTTGGACATCCCGTCAACATCTTTGCGTAGGCGTTCTAGTTCGTCGAGGTTACTCTTCACGCTCTTGACTGTTTGGTCTGCATCGGTTGCCCGACGCTCAGCCTCGACGATGATAATCTGGAGCTTGTTGTTCGATTCTCGGGAAGTGGTGAGGTCGCCGACAAGCCTTTCCCGTTCCAGATTCCACTTCTTCTGCTCCTCTCGAAGTACTCGCAGCTTGGCAGTGAGATCAGCTTCCCATTTTCTGGCATGAGTCTTGGATTTATCGGTCTCCTTCCTCAACTGGGTGTTCACTTTTTTAGCTTCTTTAAACTTGGCTTTCAGCCCACGGTTGTAGTTCAAGAGATGCTGCGTCTCCGCCTCTAATCTTGCTTCGCGGATCTGCTGTCTGTGAATCTTGCCGATATGTGACAGATGTTGCTGCTTGAGATAACGTTCAAAATTCAGATCATTCTTTAACAGCTGAATCTCGCGTTGAAGGTATGCAACTTTCAGCCCGCTGGCAGCAGTAGTTGGTCGCAGTGACGGAGATCTGGGAATGGTGTCTCGCGTCAACGAATCGAGAAAAGCATTGACATGGGATGGAACGTTGTTGCCAGAAGCAGGCAGAGAACCCACTGAGTCGTTGGTCACCGCCTGGTAAAGACTTCCCCGAGTGGAAATCTGCGTGTTCGGCATGTCAGAAAGCTGGCTGGGAGGAGACCCAATCCGTTGTGGTTGGATTGTCGGGCTCTCTTGGTGCTCTAGAGGTCTCAGGATAGGAGATTCGGCATCCGAAGGCATTGACTGTGATGTCTGAGAAAGCTTACGATGCAGGCTGAGACCAGATGAAGGACGATATCCCTCTGGTGTGACGACGGCTGTTGATCGGGTATCCCGCCAGCTAGTGGCTCTGGATTGAGAAGCACTGGGTGGCTCAGAATCAAGCAGGGGCTGGTCAGGAATATCTGCATTCTGCTCAACTTTTTTGACCGGTCCTCTTAGTCTGGGAGCATGCTCGTGGCCATCCTCGCTGGGAACATACAGAGCCATGCATTCAGCAACAACATCCGGAGCCGAACTTTTCTGCCAACGCTTTTTATCCGTAAGTTCAGAGTCTATAGTCAACATGAAGAAGTTCGGATGCATTAAATGGACCTGTCTGAAGGGTTCCGATCTTTGTTGGATATCCCTAGGCTCGATAATCAAATCGTCGGCTCCTGGAAACCTGGCATGTCGCAGGTATCTCTGGGGTTTTCGGATGTAGCTCATGAAATTCAGAGGATATAAGCCGTACAAGAACGTAAAGTAATGAAGCAGTTCTGGAACGGTTTCGTCTTCGGAATCCAGCAAAAAGGCAAGTTTTTTCCATTTCCCCGTTTGATTGGGGCTTTGCTCATTCTCACTATCCGGGTCGTCCTCAGCTGTGGAAGGAATAGGATCCACAATTCGGCGTTCCTTGTCCCAGAAAAGCATTCGACGATAGATATTGAACAGTGCGGGAAGATATTGGGAAGAAGCATTCGGTATATGTGGTAGGAACATGATTAATGCCGTCATTGCCAGCGATATAGACCTTGTGGAGGTATCGATTTGGAGGCATCGTAGAAGATTGTCGAAAAGAGGAGTTTGCAGCATTTGATGAAGATGTGGAGGTTGGTGTCTGAAGAACTCGCAGAGAAGTGAAAGAGCCAGTATTCGGCTGCCCCTCTGGATGAAGAACTTGTCGATCGTCGTCAGGAGGTCCTGGTACAATTTAGCACCCCCATAGACCTGACAGCCCAAATAAGTCATACCTTCGGTCTTTTCTTACCAAATGCAAGCAAGATCGATTGGATCTGCGTTTCCACGAACTTCGCATGATCATTGAACTCCTCCAATGCCAGTTTGGATTTGGCAAGCCATGTGGACATCAAACTATCTGCCACCGCATCACTGGTCGCCTTTGCCTCTTTCAAATGCTCCTCCTCCTCCTCATCGTAGATCAAGATTCCCAGTAATGTGTCCCTGGCCTCGGATGCCAATCCTTTTTCTACGCCCAGGTGTAGAAAAATCGGTCCATTGAGTTTATCCCACCACTGAAGCAGCCTGCCGGAACCTCTGATGTTCGGCTTCAAGGTTCGCAGGATGTTCAGGAACGGCGCGAGACGGCTGGGATAGTCGAGGATGGACCTCTGGTAGACAATCAGCAACTCCTCTTGCAGGCGCTGGGAGTCGGAGTCTTCGTAGACAGCATGTTTATCGAGATATGCGTTTATGACTTGGCTTAGATCGTCCGGGAGAGGAAGAGCTAGGGTGGGGGCGGAGGCAGTGATAGACCTTGAAAGCTCTTTTAAAGACCTGTGGGTGGCATTATCTTTCAGTAAGTATGCGACGAGACTGGATCAGCGGTTGCACTAACCCGGAAGACATGGTTGGGCAACTCGCTATTCTATCGTGCCAGAAATAGGTACCGGTACTGCTTTCGCGCTGACCTTTCGAGGTACGGCGCTGTACCTGGACCTGGACCTGGACCTGGACCTGGACCTGGACCAGTACCAATACCGTGCCCGTATTGTACGGATATATGCGCTTCGACGCAGTGCGGGCGCGGGAGCGGGAGCGCGGGGTGAAAGAAAGCTCTGACAGCTTGGAGAGGTGAAGCGGGCTGCTGCAGGCTGGCCGAGAGACTTGATAGCAGCAGGCCTGGGCCCAGTATACCCTCAATTTACCCGGGCCGCATAAACATGAGGCTATTCAGACCAGAAGGCGTCGGCGTACAGACTCGGTATCCGGTGATTGTGCTATTTGTTACATCTTGAATCAATGCTCCAAGGACAAGGGAACTCGAGGTCTTTCCGCTGGCAAGCGATAAGATCTCTTATCGCCGACCTGACCGACGTTGTCCCGCTCAACGACATGGGATTTCAGTCAAACATCACTTTAACCCATTGGTAACGAATTTCTCTAATGTTGACTATAACAGTATATCAATCACAATTTGATATTTGAATGCTGTTGAATAAAATATGAGCCTTTTTCGCTTCTCCTTATCTTTTCCTACCAACTGAGATCATTCTATACTGCATCAAAGCTAAGAGAAAGAGGGAAAAAATTACATACATTATCTATAGTTAGCAACCAACTGGTTCTTGTTGAAGGGCAATATTGCTATCACATCTGAATAACCAGATAGCTAGAGAATAGGGTGTCACATATACGACCTGTACAGACGCGGCGCGGCCGTCAAATGCCAGCCAGTTTCAGCACTAGATGGCCAAATCAAAAGTTTCAAGACTCACAAGTCCAGTCAGGAACCGACATCAATTGAATCATATTGAAAGCGGTGGACGGATCTTGATAAGCGAAGTAAAACTGAGTGCGAAAGCTCAAATATCTCAGCAATGGTCGTTGAACTCATAGATGCCGAGCTCGAACGCTACAGCTAAGCTGTAGATCAATCAACAGGAATCGAGTGCCCGGCTAATTCAGCTCACAGTGTTGAGCCCCTTTCAAGCCCTTCCTTGCGCCAGGGGACGAGAGCTGTGCGTGGGAGTGCACAGGTGTGTCTATTCAACTGGCATTACTCCAAGTACATCCCAATCCCGAATCTGCATGCTGGTCCCGTGTAACTACTTAAAAACTCCCAGGTGCGGGAGTCGACTTTCACGAACCTTCCCAAAAGTTATCCGACAGCTGTTTGCGAGGCCGCGGAGGTACAATGCCCCTATACGTCGGAATAGCCACAGAACTGTTTTCCAAGAAGTTATCCGGCAGCTGTCTGCGAGGTCGCGGAGCTACGATGCCCTCATACATCGGAATAACCACTGAACTATTCTCCAACACCGGTGGCAGGCCCGCCGAGTCGAACAACCTTTTGGTAGAGTAGATCTCCGCATGCTTCGCCAGGACCACATCCGCCTTCGCCCAAGTGGACCCCGCCATGCCGCCCCAAGCCACGTCGTCCAAATCCATCGCATCCTCCCGCGGCTTCTCCAACACGCTGAACAACCTGCTGGTGTAGCTCCTCGCGCCGCTGTTAAAGGAGGAGACCGGGCCGCCCACAAACTCTCGGATGTCCTCGAACACCACGAGCAACTCGCCAAACACCTGGCTCTCCAGAAACACAATATCCCTGGTGGCGTTGCTTTCCTTACGGATTGCCACGTAGTCTCGGAATGCCCTCAGAGCGACCTCTGCATCTGCGATGCTCTGCGAGCACTCGGCCTGTTCGCCATATCCCTGGTGGAGGAGGGCGGAGAGGATGTGGTACAGGAATTCGTGGTAGGTATCGCCAGCTGCCTTGCGGGAGGCGATCCCCGACGCGAGGAGGCTGGGCAGCGGTTCCAGGTCTCTGTATGTGAAGGAAATGGTGATCTGCAGCTTTGTTTAGATGTTTCTTTGTTGTTGATGGGGCCATCTTCAGGGGTTTGTTTACTTTCTTCGCTTCCGTGGTTAGATCTCCGCCTACGAAACAATCAAACTTTGTAGAGGTTGACATTTTGGACGTTGAATGTGGATGCTGCCAGTCTGGATCCTAAAGTTCAAAGACTGTGAAAACAACTGCATGTGGAAAATTCCTTCTATAGAATGTTCCGGATGGACGCGCTGGCGTAGTGTTGAGTCGAAAGGGGTTAAGCGAGCATGTATCGCTGAAAGTCAAGCAAGCCGTAATGATATCACAACAGCTTTCTATCTAGGGTATAGTGATCTTACTGTGTCATAATTTTCGATAATTATTAGCATTGATTAGACATCAGATGCGTTTGATCGACGAATAATCGAGCGTCTATGCTTCCGACTGAGAGCGGCTTCAAGATGCAATACAAGAAAGTCGCTCTACCTTAACTCATGCCAGTGCTCATATATGATATATGATATTGAAAGGAATATTGAAACTGAAATAAATGTAACATGTGACTTGCAAGTGGAAGAAAGGGCACTATATCAATACAAAGATATTCAAAACGGCTACTGGCCTCCTGGTTTGGCTAATCAAAAAAATACAGCAGATGAATGAAGAAGGTTGAAAAGAGCTTCCAGCTAATCTGGTTTGAATATCCACGTTGGATTATCGCTTATGCCTCTGAGCTAAGAAATCTTCATCACTTAACTGTATTTCTTACTGATCCTAGCCAGCTAGCGACTCTAATACAACCGCTGTTAAGAATATCGCTAGCGTTGCGTTGCTTTGAGATATCAGACATATCAATATGCTTATAATAGATAAAAATCGTATCTTCCAACAAGGACAACTCTATTTAATAACCTCTTTGGCGGTAGATACAACTACCCATACTCTGTCAGTACTTTCGTACCATGTCTGGAGCACGAGTCTGGGCCGATCCTTGTACGGAGATGAATCCCAGCGGTCCCTCTGCCAAGGACCACTGAAAGTTTTCAAGGAATGTATGAATAGGAATTACGACGCAAGCAGATTGACTAAATCCTAGTATCTACCACTATACTGCTTGAAATCCTTGTTGGAGGGGAGAACTATAGTACGAGCCGGTGTCTGTGTCTTGGTGATAATAGCCGGAACCTCACGGGATATCACCCATACATATGCACACGTTCAAACCCCCGAGAAAGCAGGTACCGTCACCTCCCCACCATGCCTCCAACCCAACTTCAAAATCGAAAGATAATCTCTATTTCGAAAATCACAAAGCAAATAATCATCTCTTATCTATAAAAGCACACACAAGCCCGCATCAACCAAGGCACCAATAAATAAAAATACACAGATAGAGGTACTATAGTACGAACCTAGGTCTAAGCGGAATAAGCGAGGTACAAAAGACCAAAACAGAGAAAGGTGACTGTGACCAATTGCTTTCGTATTAAGCGGAAAAGGAAACGACAACTTACTTTCTTTAATTGATTTCTGTGTTATCAATTCGCCATAGAGTATGGCTAGCTATAGGGTTTTCGAGATTCAAAGACGTAGTAAGTGATTACGAAAACCCGGTTCTCGCTGTCGTAAGTGCGAAGCAACTAGCAAGACATCTGTTGGCATGGGTAAAGTATACGTAGCGACGATGTGAAAGTTACAAGGTGGATATTAGTTTCGAAAGATTTGATATGTTATTCAAGTGCGGGTATCTGGAATTCGGGCTGAAAATGTGCACATAGATATTGAAGTAGAATTGAAATGAAAACGCTGCTCAAGTGGGGTGGGCGGCTTATGTACACGCAAACTTCTTGTTCTTGATGCAGATATCGCAACGTAGTCTGCTGGTATTGAAAATCATGTAAGTGTGTATACAAATAGCGAATGTTTATGTAGTCTATTCATCTACATTGTTGTACGACGGATATGCTATAAGCTGTGGCTCTATTGTCTATCTAGGTATAATCATCATCATCATTATCATCAGCAAGTCCGAGCACCCAAGACAGACCCTCCCTCAAAGCTTCCCCGTCGCCCACCCAACCCCTTTCAATTCAGCTAGTCAAAGCAGATACTCATCGAACCAAGTAACTGCCTGCAAGAACGCCTGCTCCTTCGCAAACCGTTCCTGCTTCTTGCTTGGATCGCACCGCACGGAGAAGCCGTGCACGACCCCGCTGAACAAATTGAGCTGGTACGGCTGCTTCGTCTCGATGAGGAGCTCCTCGGAGCGGTGGCGCTTCTCCGTTGGGAAGATCTGGTCGGTTTCCGCGGCTGCGATAGACAGCGGGCCCTTGATGGCCGAGAGCTCGGACTCCTCGACGAAAGAGGGGTGTGCGACGAAGCCAACGTCGATACCCTTGCCGGTTGGCATGAAGCGGATGACGTATTTGGCACCCTGTTCATTGCCAGTCAACATTGATATAAATATCCCGGATTCTGTGATGTTCAAGTGGTATTGTTTAGATGATGTTGAAAGAGAGAGAGAGGGGACTTACAAAACAGTACCCCACAGCGCCAATCCTCTTGAAACCCTTCTCCTTCAAGAACGCAATGCTGTTCCTCACAATCGGGTCCACCGCCTCCCACGTATGCGGATTATTCCCCCCCGTCCCCTTGGTCAGCCAACCCGTGAAATCAAAGTCAGCTGGTCGGTTCAGGCTCAACGGATCGCCGTTAAACAAGTCCGGGATGACCGTGTAATAACCATTAGCGGCGAATTGGTCGGCCATGAGTTGCGAGTTCTGCCAGATGCCGATCACGTCGGGCAGGAAGAGGATCGCCGTGTCGGCGTGAACGGTCTTGCCTGTGGCGGGGGCTTCATAGGCGTCGATAGAGCCGATTTTGATGGAGGTGCCTGTGGGCGTGCCTCTACATAAATCATTGTTAGTTTGAGATTCATTGTGATAGCAGGCCAAAGACCAATGCGGGAAAGGGGGAAAGTCAACAAGAGCAGAGCTTGGGACTTACTCATGCTTGACCCCAATGGTGCAGCAAGTAGATGGAGGGTTAGACGCCATATTTTCGGTCAATTTGAATATTATGTATTCTCTCTTGTTGATCTTCCAAAGTCAAGTTATCCAGGGTTTTACAAAGATTTCGTGGTGGTTCTGAGAATGAAGTAGCTGGACTCGAAGGAGGGGCACGTATAACCCCAACCTGCTTTGTAATGTTGACGTATCTCGCCTACGGAGCAAAGATTACCCGAGTCGAGTCAAAAGCGGGTCCATCTCATACCTCCGTAGATACACGAGGCTGAAAATAACAAGCGCGCGCCTAATCCACCCAAAGATTTCGCCGTCTAAAGCTCATGTACGGAATCAATAATTGATGGGAACTGGCTCCTAACCACGCCAATTCAAAAATCAGCAACCATGAACCGAGTTCCCACCCGTGCAGGCCGTTTCCGTCTCGGGACCAAAGAAATATACCTGTACTTTCCCTTTGTCCCTCCCATCTGCCTACTCCTAACAGCTTACAGACCGAACTTCACGCTCACCCTCCTTCGCACGCCCGAGCTCCCACCCACCACTGCCTCCTTCGAGGTGCCGCTTAACCTCAACAAGCTTGATATCCGGGACTACTTATGGAACGTGTACGGGGTGCAGGTCCTGGGTGTGCGGAGCTATATCCAGCAGCAAAAGGTGCGGCAGGACAAGCCCGGAGCGCAGCGTGTCGCGCAGCGGAAGTGGTACCGGCCGCGCGCGATCAAGCGCATGCTGGTTGAGATGGAGAAGCCGTTTGTGTGGCCAGCCGAGCCGGAAAATTTTGACCCGTAGGTTCTCTGATTGCATCCCTGTTCGTTCGCTGGACTGCATGTTTCAATTGGTGGTTGAAGGAGATGATTCATAGGAAGGGGGGACTGTTGATGATGTCTTTTACGTTTACGTTGGGTGTTAGGATGTGCTGCTAATCAGGGGAATTTACAGATGGGATAAGAAGACGTTCGATGCCGCGAAGAAAGACCGCGAGCAGACTTCAGAGGTGTATAACCCCGAATACAGACTCAAGCCTGCGCGGGACCGGGAAAGTATTGCGGAGCAGGCCAAAAGTTTGTTGAAGGGCGAGACTACCTGGCAGTCGGATCCGTATTCGACACGTGCACAGAGGAATGAATGGGTGGATGATGGGGAGCCGGTTGAGGTTGATCAACATGTCGAGGTGCCGAAATTGGAAAAAGTATGAGGAGAGGAGTGACATGATTGACGAGACCTGTTTGTATTAATATGGACTGACTTTAAGTCTGGGGAGCCGAGCTGTACAACGTGTATAAGACATAAGTTGTGGTACGAGCGGTATCAATTGTTATCTGGCTTTTCATCTTTTTCTCCGTCTCTCATGGCTTCCTTCTCTTGTTCCTGCTCGTCAAGAAGCATCGCGGCCTCCTCTTTTCCAATCCAACAATTCTTATCCTGAAACTTCAAAACCTCATCCCCCCAGCTCCACCACCCACTTGTCAGATTCCTAGCGAAAATTTCCAGGCCTTGATACTTGTCCTTCAACCCCTCGATCACACTGCCACTCTCACTTGCGCCTCCACCTTCCGGCTGGACTTTCAAAATAGCGTCAAGCACCATCTTCAAGCACGGCTTCCTTGAATGCAAATCTGGGACTGCAATGACAACTACAGCACAGGTAGGGGTCAGCGATCGTCAGATCAAGGAAGTTCCAGGAAGATGTTGCACATAGACCCTAGTATCCCGGGCAACCAGAAGCCCAGAGTAGCATAAAGGGCATCTGTTACGTACCTCTTCTCTTCACCTTGAAATCCCTATGAACACCCCGTTTTCCCACAAGCAAAACCTCCCACGGCTTCCTCCATGCAGAATCTAAAGCCTGGATCGGGTCCCCGGAAAGGGTAGTTTTCAGCCATACCCACTCCTCGACGAGCGTGACGCCCCAGGCGTCGAACAGACCGGTGGGGTCGAGGACGAGAGCGCGGAAGGCGGGCTTGTTGGTTATCCATATGGCGACTAGGCTGGTGTCTGTGAGATGGAGGGGAAGTGGGAGAAGAGAGAGAAGGTGTTTGATGGAAGGGGTGGTAGGAGCGGTGGTGTATGCGCGTTTGCGAAGGGCGGATTTGTTGGGCCAGGGAGGATCTATCACTACGAGATCGAATTTTGGCGCGGAGAATTTGAACGTCTCGTTCGTGGCTTCGATGGTTCCTGAAATGTACCTAGATCCAGGCGGGAGACTGAAAGCCTCGCCCACGGACGCACATTGCACTTTTTCCTCTGGAGAAATCGCAAAGCGACCGTGGGTTCGGGAAGTATCAGAGCATCCATACGATTTTAATGAGACACTATAAGCACCAGACCGAGATGGTGACACGTGAGCACACGAAATCGGACCGTGGCCACAAACCAGCGGCGATATTTCGCGGTCCACGTCTGAGGCATACTGGCAAGCCGCTGGAACACACGAATGCCATTTTTCACGAGTAAACCCAATCGATTTCGCTGCACGATTCCTCTCCCCGTCTGGACTGGACTTGAACTGCTCGCGTTTCCGCTTCCTCATAAGCGATGGGTGGGTAGATGTGTATCTGGGCCGGCACCATGGCCCAGTATAATTCTCCCGGACGTCTTGGAGAGCGAGCTCCAGATGTCGTCGTAGGAGCTGGTCGCTTAAAGAGGGTTCGCTTACTCCTAAGCGAGCTTTGGCTTTGGCGGACTTGGGTTCTGTGGAGGGAAAGGGTTGGAGGGGTGCTGCTGATGAGAGGAGGTAGTGGGTGGGATTCCGGTTCTCTGGTTCTTGGGCTGATTCAATGGAACAGGGGATGTCTACCAGGATGACTATGGGAATTAGCCATTGCTGGGACAACCAAGGACGGGGAATAGCCCTTTACTTACCTGTAGCATCCGAGTTTGCGTAAAGAATGGATGACCGATCCATTGGGGCTGGCAAATGTAGAGAATCTTATATATATAACGAGTTGAGAAATAGAACGAAACTCTGAGACAGAAAGAAAAGACAAACAAATATATATATATGCATATTTATATTTATATGTACATGATGGTGGAAGCTTAAGAGAAGGGAAAGCGAGGAGAGTGGAGAGAAGAAGCCACGAGCGATCCAGATTGCGGCCCCGGATCACGTGGGCTATATGATGACTAGTATTACTTGTAAGCTACCGGTATCTCAACTTATCGAATTATTTCCATCAGTCGTCATCCAAGGCTTCCTTTCTAAGGCAGATATGATGAAGATATAAATCGCGGATAATATATTACCCTCGTCTCGGTGTCCATCGGCTGGTATAAGCCGAAGCTATGCGCTAAACAATGTCCCGAGGCAACTTTGTCCCCCCAGACGCTTTGGACGTCCGAATCGCATCCCCCACTCCAATTCACCTTCAAGTTCAATTTCGACTTCAACCTCAATCCTCGACCCGTCACATATCTTCACCGTCCATCGCCTCCTCTCTCACGACGGAATGAATACCAAATGACCCCCAAATACCTCCCAAGAAAATAATACCCACGAGCCCTTGGGCCGCAAGGAATGCCCTCGGCCCTCCTTAACAATGTCTCTCCACCCGCGATACTCAAGGACAAGGGAAAGGACAGACCACGAGAGATGCAAGAAACCGAAAAACACCAGAAGGAGCTGGCTAGATGCCCGACCGACGACGACGACGACACGGTAGCGTCAAAAAGCAAGAAGCGTCATAAACAAAGCTTCGACTATATATGGCGGACCGGCGTGGCAGGTGGGCTGGCGGGGAGTGCGGTATGTTTACCTACATTTGCACTCATATATATATATATCTTTTGGAGTCATAAGAAGAATACCTGCTGATTGACATATACCCAGGCCAAATCCTTAGTCGCCCCCCTCGACCGCGTCAAGATCCTCTTCCAGGCCTCGAACCCCCAATTTGCCAAATACACCGGCAGCTGGTTCGGCGTCGTAACGGCCATGAACGACATCTACAAGGACGACGGTGCGCGTGGTCTCTTCCGGGGGCATTCGGCGACCATCCTCCGTATCTTCCCCTACGCAGCTATCAAGTTCCTAGCCTACGAACAGATCCGCTCTGCCATCATCCCCTCCCCCGCTCAAGAAACGCCCCTCCGTAGACTCCTGTCTGGATCCCTTGCAGGTGTCACATCGGTGTTCTTCACATACCCATTGGAAGTGATCCGAGTCCGACTAGCCTTCGAGACGAAGCGGGACTCACGCTCCTCACTATCAAATATCTGTAAGCGCATATTCAACGAAGCCCCCCCACCAGCAAAACCCGTATCGGGACCGGCCGTGGTAGGAGCGACTGCTGAGGCAGTACGCGCTGTGGCACCCCGTGCCGGGATAGCAAATTTTTACCGCGGGTTCAGCGCGACGATCCTCGGCATGTTACCATACGCAGGCATGTCCTTTCTCACCCACGATACAGCCGGCGACGTGCTACGGTACCCTCTCCTAGCACCGTACACCACCCTTCCGAAACCTGCCAACTATCCTCCCAATAAACCCCCGCCCCTACGATCCTGGGCCGAGCTTTTCGCAGGCGGAATCGCAGGCCTCGTCTCCCAAACATCAGCGTATCCATTAGAAGTCATAAGAAGACGGATGCAGGTAGGAGGCGCAGTCGGGAACGGGCATCGTCTCAGTATCCGGGAGACGGCGAAGATGATCTTCAGAGAGAGGGGCGTCATGGGGTTCTGGGTCGGATTGAGCATTGGGTATGTAAAGGTTGTGCCGATGGTGGCCGTCAGCTTTTACGTTTATGAGAGGGGGAAGACGTGGTTGGGGATCTGAGTTGGTATACTCAAACAAGGGTGACAGGACCAGGCATTGTATAGGTATTTGGGCTGCCTGTCTAGGTATATGCATACGTAGGTGATTGATAGACTTAGGTCTTTGAAATGAGAGGAGTTTGGTTTTCCTTAGCAATACGAGTATTTTGAACAAGATACCCGTATATTATCACATTTTAGCATTTCGTAAGCTGCTCACTCTACTAAGCAGATAAGTAAGGTTGCTGACCATTTATCTTTATTATCAAACAAATGACTATTACTACTACTCACGTCGACCGACACCCTCTTTCAGCTGCAGTTCCCAGACGTGCCCACGGGCCCCACCCACGCATCATCCGTCACCACAGCCGCACTGCCGCAAGCGGGGACCACCAGCGTCCGGTCCTGGCTCTCGAAAATGGGCGCCTGGTTGCAGTTCTGCTCCCTCACATACTTGAAGTCCACCGTCTGCCCGGCGGGGAGATACGTGCTGACGCTCCACAGCGGTCTCTCGCTCGTGTACCCGCCCGCGCCCATCGGGATCGCGTTGCCCAGATCCCAGGCGCCGAGATCGGTGGATGATCCGGAGACGTAGAGGTTCTCGCCGAAGTAGGTGGATGCGTTGACGTTGAACTGGACGTTGATCTGGCAGCCTGTCGTCACGTTTGGCGCGCCTGCCGCGGTGGCTGGGACGTAGACGCCTGGGGTGGAAGTACCAGCACAGGCTGTGGGGACAGGAGCGACGTGGCGGGTGTTCCAAGACGGTGGGTACTCGCCCGCACGACGTTCAGCCATGGTGACGAAGGCGGCGTAGGACCAAGTCAAGTCTGCAGCTGAAAGAGGGACGCCACTGTCACGATTGAACTGCTCGGCGAGTGATCCGTCGGCAGGAGTGTATTGCTGGACCACGGCGACGAAGGATTCGGCGTAGGCGGTGACAGCGTCCATGATCTGGGCGAAGGGGGAGTTGGCGTCACCGCTGTTGTATTGGCGGACGGTGACTGCTGGGTAAAGGTCCTGGAAGAAAGCAAGAGAGGTAGCGTCGACGTAAAGGACTTGTCGAGCTTTCCATTGGGCGACTGCGTCGTAGAGAAACTCGGCAGCGGCTGTCGTAATAAGATACCATGGGTGGCCGCCTTGGTAGGTATCCTCGGTGTACCGTCCTACCGCAACACCCTTGTCCTTGGGAATACCTTTATTAATAGTGTAGGCATCGCGGAAGGTATCGATGAGGGCCTTGAAGTTTGCAAGAGACTTGCTGTTACAGGGCTGGAAGGTTTCGTCGCTGCAGGTAGCGTTGATGTCAAAGTTGTTGATAGAGCCGAGGATAGAGTTTCCATCAAGTCCGGAACGTCCGTTGTCGACGTTGATATTAGAAACAATATACTTACCGTTCCAGAAAGACTGGAGGAAGCAGAGTGCTTGGGGTGCTTGGTCGCAGCCGGTACAGTTTACGTTCAAGGACTTGGCAAGTGCGGTGCCTTCGACGAGTGCTCTGTGCTGAGCTTGAACAGTGAAGAAGCTGGAGCCTTGGACTTCTTCCCAAAGGTCAAAGCCGGTAGAATTCCAGTACTGGCCGACATAGGACAGATCGTTGGAAATAATCGGCCAGATGATCTCTCTGGCTTTCTCGGACTGGCCGTCTTGGATCAGGTAGTTGCTATAAGTTATAAGAGCCTAGAAGGTCAGCTCTGCTCGCTCTGAGTAGTGCTAAGTACTTGCGATTGCCCGTAAACCAGGTCCGTCACGCTGGGGACGTCCCCAAGCCCCATTGAATCTCGTCCCATCAACCTGGTACTTGGGCTCTCCAAGCCCCAGACCAGCCGGGAGAAAAGTCCCTGACGGATTGGCGACCGTTTGGAGGACAGCCTGGGAGTGACACCAGGGAGTCAGAAATTGCCTGATTTAAAACGTTTCCAGGGTATAATCAAACGTTCTGGAATGGGAAAAATCTGGCTTCCGCATTATGTACCTGGGCGTGAATGTAATCCTCGATGTAGGACTGCAACTCCCTCTTCCCTAGGAGAAACTCATCGACAATCATCTTCATCGTGAGAGCCGAATCACGGGTCCACGTATAGAAGTCTATCCTCGCATGAGCATTGACTCTCATACATACACCCCTTCCACGGCTGAAGAACAAATTCACATACAGGGCGGATCGACCTTGGACGGACTGGCCACGATGAAGCCTGCACCAGCTCCAGACGCTTTGCTTCCACTGGGTCCAACATTGTTCTTGACGCCCTGCAGTGCGATGGCCCTCTCCTGCGCAATGAACGAGCTCAAGTCCGGTGCTTGGAGCGGTCCTGCGGCAGCGGCAGCGGTGACGAGAGACACAAAGCTGGCGAGGATGGAGGAGGAGGAGGAGGAGGAGGAGGAGGAGAAGCGCATGGTGAAGAACTCGCCTGGGTCAAGGCACGTGAGGTTGAAGTGAGGTTGAAGGGGAGGAGGAGGAGGAGCGAGTGCAAATGCTTCAACTCCATGAGGTACCGAGCCGAGGACCTTCGTCTTTTATAGCGACAGACCCTTTGTTGATACAAGTATACGATAGAGTCTGGGAACACTGCACCTTCTCATTGTGGAAAGCGGGGTTGGGGCGAAGGGGAGCACGGGACTCAGGAGCCTGCCTTGGCGAGATGCACCTGCTTTCGTTCTTGGCTGCTGCGTGACGGCGTCGGTCCGATGTGTGACCGAGGACTTGGCATCGATGATATATCAAGTCCAGGCAATCCCGGCCAGACTACACACATCTCAAAGCCCTATACCTTGCAGGGTGAAGCGCTCACAGCGAGATGTACCACTCCTGTGCTGGTTGCTTTACTTCGTCTGAAATATATCAAGACCCACTCAGATCCGGCGAATTTCCGCGCGCCAGAAAGAAACCTTCCTTCGATTCTGGAAGACGCTGGTCCGTACTGCTATCTACTTTTCCCGCACTCATAACGCCATATATGCGATCAGCGCCGCTGGGGAAACACGTTATCCGTATTTACTGTGCTGGGTAGCCAGTGTCGGTGACGGAACTTATTCTTCTTGCGGCGTCCCCTGCTGCGCCATGATCAAAGCAGTCAGCTCCGCGATCTTGATGCTCAACTCCCGAACTTGTTCCTCTAAAACCTCATTACTGACTCCTCCACCCATCACTTGCCCATTCAAATCTGCCCCCTCCTTCTTCCCTTGAACCGGCGTGGCAGCTTCAGGCGGACTGTGCGCCCCATCCTCGCTGATTGGCCGGTCGGGGAAATGCTGCGAGTTCGCCTTTCCACTCGTGCGGTTTGTAAGGAACGGACGCTGCTTTTTAGAGTTGGACTCAATGCGTGTGAGGCCAGGGCCGATGGACGAGAATGCCGAGGCACCGCCTTTAATTTTCTCGTGCGCCTTTTCGAAGATCAAGATTGCTACTACTATTGGGGAGTGGGTTATCTTCAGGGTGAGGATTCGAGTACGTCGGAGGTCGTCTGCGGAGAGGAAGAGGCGAAGGGGTCGGATGAGGACTAGTGGAATGAGGTTCTGGAGAGTGTCAGTAGATAGAGGCGTGGGTCGGAAAGGAATAAATAACTTACTAGGGGTGGGTAAAAATGTGTGAGCCTGTTGCTGGTTGATGCCTGCAGTATATTAGTGGTGAAGCTTCCACACATGTGAGATCGTACCTCGAGGACATAGACCGCGTAAACGAACAGATATTCCTCCCTGTGAAGTGTTAACATAAACTCTCAACTGTTCCAGTATAAACACACCTTGCATGTGCAATAACCTTCGAGAAGCTATCACTCAGAATACTGATCAAGGATGTGACCAAGAGAATATTTGTCATACAGACGAAAATAAGCTACATACAATCAGCAAAGTGGTTACAGTAAGACAGAGCCAAAACCTACCATCAAAGGTGGACCCAGCTTTGGGTTAATATCACTCATAATATCGAAGCCCAGGTAACTCGAACCAAAGAATACCTTGATCAAGATCCAGCTCATTTTGGTCAGGTCGAATTTATCCCGAGCCAGGAGGGTGAAAGTGGTGAGAAATCCAATGTAGAGAACAGCCACGACCACCATGAACTTGACGAAGTCTTTGGTCATCTGTTTCAGGCATGGAATTAGAGTGCCAAAGTATGGATGCAGACTCAGAAGCGAGCATATTCTAGGGACCATGAAAAGAGCTTCTAGTGACAAGATATCGAAGGCGGTATCTGTAATAGGTTCGCTATCCTTGAAAATTCCAACGAATCCTATTCGCGCCTTTAGTGATCCGTATCTGTTTCAGAATGTGTAGCCACTCACTTGTGATTGCAAAGGCTGCCCCGATGAGAATGATGATGATATCGCATCCATTCCAGATGTCGACAGCGTAGAATATCGACCCCGCATCAATAAATTCTCCAAGCTCATCGTATGAAAAGGCAGCAAACCAGAAATAGAGCAAGACTTCCAAGAAAGTAACATGATATCTGCTGGCAATGTAAGCAGGCGAAATGCCGGACAGTTGGTCTACCCACGGGTTCCGTTCCACCAGGACGGCGTAGTATAGGAACAGAAAGGTGGCGAAAAAGAGAATCTCAAACGCCTTGATATATCTCGGTACTCGCAGCCGCGTGAAAATATCAGAGCGTTTCTTGTTGTAAAAGTGAGGCTTCTTCTTCGTGTCTGCGCTCAATTTGGCCCAGAACGTTATGTCTCCATTCCAGATCCCAGTAATGATTTTCTGAACAATCCTCTGGCTAATGAATTTCTTGCAGTCCGCTACAGCAGCGATCTCCAGTGCATTTAGGCCAGTAAATGACGACGTCGGATCATTCTCGTCTTCCAAAGACTGATCTGGTACTGAGTTGGATCCCATGTGCGATATTGACCGTAGCAGTTCCACACGCTTACTGCCCAGCCTCGTGGGTGTCATTGGTCGAGGATGATCCCGCGCTCTAAATTGTGGTAACAGACTTGTGCGTTCACCTGCCTCCATGCCGCAAGGGCCCTCGAATTCTGGTTCTGGTTCTGGTTCTTCCGGCACCTTCACTTCGGGCAGCTCGTACAAGCAAAAGTCGACAGCATCTCGCTCTGACAGTCGTGTCAAGAATCGCCAGGCAACAATTTCGCATGCATTAGCCCGAGTCTCGTTCAATCCGCGATCGTCGACATCGAGGGTGGAAAAGTGCCATTTCAAGGTCCTACCCAAATTGCATGAGCGGTGCTTGGCAACTTCGTATGGAGTACTGACAGGAGAGCGTTGATTAAAGCTGGGTTGGTGACATTTGCAACGAGGTAATCCACCAAGACTCGGATCTTGTTTCCCGCAGAGGTGGTTCGCAACTGTTCGAAGGTAGAAGGGACGTGTAATTCGTCAACGAAGTAGCTATGAGAGGTTAGAATATGTATGGTCCGAACAGCCAGGTAGATATGGCGGATGTGACCTTACAAAGACAGAGCTTTGACGACCTTAGCAAAAGGATCGTCGGGACCTATTGTAGGGAATTTGGTCGGTTTGACAATGCCCACGAGGGATCCTGGGTGGCCGTTATCCATGATGACAGTTGGAGTTGGAAGATGTTTGCAGAGTCAAGGGGGAGGGTATCGCAGGTTGTATTGGCGGCGGCAGCAGTATCACAGTCGCACAGAAAATGAATAAGCCATTGGATTCGAGTCGGGTCGGGTCGAGCCGAGTCGAGTCGCCGGCTTGAAGAGAAGTAGGTACCGGTAGTAGTAGTTTTTGATAAAGTCCATATGGGCACAGGGATCGGCACCTGAACAGTGGGGTGGGAAAACGGTCACCTACTGCAGTAATTAAGTGGAGAACGGAGGGGTGACCACTGAGTTTGGGTCTGGGCTGGGCTGGGCAAAGCTTCATTCATTCACTCCAGGCATCTTTGCGTTCGCCATCAAATCCCCGCCCTCAAACAGACTTCACAGCTTCTCGACCTCAACCTCAACCTCAACCTCAACCTCAACCTCATCAACGCACAGCAACAACGACTCTGAGCTCTACAATCTCATCACACTGCAACCACCAGCTCATCCAAGATGGCGACCAATCCGCTCAGCACAGAGAGCATTCTCAAGCACATGGCAGATGCTGTCCCCACGCATACCAAAGGAGACACCGGATCCGACTTCAGCAGCTCATACGAAGCCATCGCACTGTTCGCCCACGCATGTATGACGGCGGTTGGATTCCGACTTCTAGGCTACGGCGAAGGACAGAAGAATGGTAAGCTCAACCTCCGCATACAACACATCTGGTCTTCTAACCCACCCGCAGAAGCAGAGAGCCAGAAGCTCGCACCTCGCCTCTCAGAAAAATGGAACTCTTCCGTCAACTCCTACTCTTTCCTCTACGCGCACTCGCAATCATCGATGGAATACGTCATCAAAGTCGACAGACTAGGAGGCAAAGCTGAGATCAGAGGAATTGGCTTAGGCGATGAGCGCATTACCAGACTCGAGATCACCGCCAAAGACTATATATCTAACGCCGCTCTGCCCCTCCGCATAACTCTCACCCCAGATGGCGAGGAGGACAGATCAGATCTACCAGACAAGCTGAAAGCCATCTTCACCACGCCCCACCGAATCCAGGACCTCGCCTCGGAATTCAAAACAATCATCATCCAGAAACTGATCCCAAATCTCCACAAAGAAGGCTACGAGGAGTCCTCCGCCGCTGCGCGAGATGCCCACGATGAGCGCGAAGAAGCCCAAGCAAGACGAAATCAACGTCAAGATCCCCTCCGCGACCCTGGACTCCCCGAACCCGCTCGCCCCTACCCCTTCAACGACCCACTGGCCGCTCCACGCCATCCCCCCATCCCGGCAGGCGATTTCCCACCCCCGGGATTCGACGACGAGCTCGACATGAACCGTCCCCTCCGCGGGATGGCGCCTCCGTTCCCTGGCGCAGGATCGCCGTTTGGAATTGGACATGATGATTTGAACCCGCCTGGTCTTGGGCCGAGAGATCCGCTACGGGGGAGCTTCGTGGGTGGTGGGGTTGGGGGATTTGGTGGTGGGATGCATCCTACTTTTGATGATCCGCTGTTCGGGGGCCAGGGACAGGGGAGGGGAGGAAATGGAAGGGCACCGCCGGGAGCGAGGTATGACCCGTTAGGACCGGGAGATGGGCCGCAGAGGGGTGGTGGGGGCAGACCGCCGAATCCATTTGGGGGCTTTGGGGGGAATGATTTTATTTGAGCGAAAATTGCAAATGGGACACAGGGTACATTTGGCTGGTGAGGATGGGACAGGATGGGAAAGGATGGGGAAGGGGCGTTTGGTACTTACTCAACTCAGATATACCCTATACTTTCTACGAGATGGAAAGATAACTCATGAATCGATGATAGTATATGCAAAATACGTCTGTGATACGCGTCACGTTGATTCATTCATCTACAGTGACCTACCTAGAACAAATGATGCATCAACGCTCATTTTACATCAAAACTTGTATATTTGAGAGCACCCCCTTTTTATAGTTATAGGCTTCAAAAAATAACCGATATTCATAAAACTCTTGATAGATACAAACAGCTTATAACTGCAAGACGGTTATTACATTTCATTACATTTCATTTCATTGCATTTCATATAATTATAATTAATTCAACAGAACTGATCAAAGCCAAAAAAACAAATAAGTAGGTAGGTAAATTAAGCTCTCGCTTAACATTTCAAGTTTAGAGTTTCACCCCGCAGATCTTGGCAAGGATCGAAGAAGAAAGAGAAACG